CATTCAAAGGTTTCTAAACTTGATGATACTCAGGTATACTAAATTTTAAAACAAAAATGTTCCAATGCCCCCGATTCTTGCAAAAGTTCAACCCCACCAGCGAGTGCAAGTAACTAAACGGGGCTCTGACACATTTGTAAGTGCAAAGTCAAACTGCTTTTCACATGTGTAGACATGTGGTTCATTTACAGTAAAAAGCAGTCGCCTACTTCTACCCACCATGATTATCATGGCCTGTACCACGTGTACTAGGGATAAGCAAAAAAAAAAAAACTTTTAAAACAAGTTACGGGGAAGCACAAGGTAATAAGATCAAACCCAAATAAATAGTGTGTGACATTTCAGTAACAGACTTTTGTCTGAAGATGGTAACAACACTGTTACACCAAAACGTCACACACTATTTATTTATTTAGATTTGGTCTTATTACCTGGTGTTTATAATTTATAATCCAAATTAAACTTTATCAAGGTTATAGGGAATTTTTACACCTCTATTTGACCTGTTCTCAAAATAAAAATAGAAAATTTGAAAAAATATTTGAAAAAAATGACTGAAAAATGATACACATTGTATATGGGAAACAGCTAAGAGAGAGAAATGACAACTTGGTTATCTCCAGTTTGCTTTTTCTCTCTGGTCCATGCTCCAAATTGACTTGGTTAATTCCCAGAATAATCCATCCTATTCCACTTTATAGTACATTTTGGACAAGATTTGCAACTTTATTATTACATTAGGGATGGAAAGTGCATATGTGTTAAACATACAGTATAGTTTCAAGAAAACAAGACCTAATCCAAATAAATTAATTGTGTGTGACTTTCGGTAACAGCATTGTTACCATCATCAGACTAGCGAAGAAAGGATGAAAACAGACACTGGAAACCAGTTCAATAATACTGAAAGACCCAAATACAACAGCAAAAGCAAAACTCATTACAAAAACCAAAATACCCCAGCCAATATGCAACCTCAACATTAACAGAGAATTAATGACAACAATTTCAAGAATCAGATCAGGACATTTTAAAGGAATGAAGATAAACCCAGACATGACTAGATCCTACAGGAACTGCAATAACTGTTACAACACCCAACTCACTCCGGACCATATATACCCGGCCATCCTTGCAGCCCTCTATATGGCAGACATCAATCCTGAAGAGGACATCCATACGGACAAGGCACCTCAGTTGGCCGGTATTGTGATCAGGGTGCATGGACGGATCTGATCTGCTCCATGGACAAGATACCACCACCACCATCATCAGACAAAATAAAAAATGAAAAAAATATCACAGCATGTTCTTGAACTCTACAGAACATGCTGTGATATTTTTCTCATTTATTCTTTTGTCTGATGATGATAACAAGGCAAATATTGGATTGAATAAAAGATTTATTTGCCAATATTTCGATTGGCTGAATGCAAACTTTTGTCAAGGCACTACATTTTTGTATAAACAAACTCAGCGCACTCAAAAATGTAATACAAAAATCCTTTATTCAATCCAATATATGCCTTTTTAATATCTAAAGATTTGAATATGGATTGCTCTATATTCAGAATACAGTATAGTTGTAAAACTGATCTTTAAAAAAAAATACTTTATTTTAAAATAATAATATTTTACTCTGTTGCAAACGAATGTCAATGTTTAGAATACACAAATAATCCTATATGGGAATTATTTTATGTTACAAGGTCAGGATTCTGTATCCATGACATATCAATATTAATTTTTGCTGTTTAAATAACATTCTAAGTGAATAAGTGTTAATTTTGTGGATCACAAGAAAAACATTTTGATAATGGAAATTAAAAGGTATACTTAATGAATTTCGGATGGATTTTTGTTTAGGTAATAAACTCACCAAATTAACTTTGCATTTTTGCATTTTATGAAAAAAAAAAATGTAAACAAGTTTTAATCATGCTCTATTAATTTTTAAAATTCTAAAATACTTACCTAAAGGCTATTTACTTGCGTAACTCATTTAAAATCATACATTTTGTTAATTAATCATATGCTTAGCTATTAGTGTAATTACTCTTGAGGTTTCATTCATTTTTGCATTTCTTTTTGTATTCTAAAAATATTTTAAACTTTTTAATCAGCTCAAATTGTGCAAATATTCATATTCTTTCAAATAAATAAAAACAAACTTGTTTATTTTTATTCGAAGAAGAGTTCCTTTTGGTGCAATATTTTTTAAAGTAAATATATTCTGTGGAGTATGTTTGTGTTTTGTTTTTTCGTTCTGTGCTCCAGAAACCTAGGTTATAAATATCTATTTTTGTGTGATTTTGTGTATATATTCATGTGAAAAAATAAGAAAATATTTAAAATTATAAATAAAAAGTCAGGTGTTTATATTAATATATATATATATATGAAAAAAAAAAAATAAAAGATAAGTGAGTCAGGTGTTGGTATTAAAAATAAAGAAAGCATCTCCTGACCACGAGCACATGTGCTTTTTAGATAGCAAGGCGCCATCTAGTGGAGCAAAAATAAACTAAACGTTTATTTAGCTTGCTCCATGATAGTTGGCCAACGTTTAGTTTATTTTTGCTCCACAAGATGGCGCCTTGCTATCTAAAAAGCACATGTGCTCGTTGTCAGGGGAGATGTCTTCTTTATTTTTAATATATATATAATTGTTATATAAAAATGAATAGATTTTCTGTTGTATTTAGATCATGTTGAGGATTATGGTAATGCAGTCGTGGTTAAAAATCTTGAAAGAATAAAAATAGTTTGATCAGAGATTTATTTATTAGAGCTTTAAGATTATATAATAAACATAATTTGATAAAAGTACCGCCTGGCTTAAGGCGAGTAAAACAAGGAAAACAAAATATTATTTACATAATGTACAAATATTTTGAGCCGGCCATTGGGATAGAGAGAGAAAATATGGTTTTACGGGCTACTAACCAAAAGGTATGATTTTTGAGCCCAAGCGCGATGTCAGGTGGCAAGGGACCCTAGGATCTGGCGGCAGGAGATGTCTCGCAGGGGTGGTGGAAACGTTGGGCAAGCAGGGGAACAGCGCCAGGGTGCAGTGAGGCGGGTGCCTTGAATAGGCCAGGTTTCCAGGAGAAGTGTCAGATGGAATTGGAGGCAGAAGGTCCTTGAAGCCTAGAACTTGAGGGCCCTAGACTTCAGGATGGGGAAGCTTGAGGCTCTCGCCTCGTGCTTGTCAGGAAGGCCCTTGGAGCAGCAGTTGGTACATTTGGAGGTGCGCTGGTTAGCCATGGACAATGGATGGGCAGGTGCGGCCTTCATGGCCGTCTTGACCGCAGTGGAAGCACTTAGGAGCTCTGGAGCATTGGGCAGAGTTGTGGCCGAAGCCACAACAGTGGAATTAGACGCGGGCGCTGATGGACTCCTCGAAGTTGAGGATTACTCCATCCACCACGATTCTCCCGCGAACGCCCAGGGCTCTAAAGGTCTTGAGGTCCACCTCGATGAAGGCGGTGCAGGTCCCGCTTCTGGGTGCAGAACGGTGCGCCACGCGCACCACCTTGTCCCCAGGAAGTTTTCTAACAGCAGCGGTTTCCAGGAAGGTCTCCTCAATTGTGGAGTTGGATGTCTCTTCATCCACTTTGAAGAGGCAGATCCGTGGCAGGATCTCCTTCTGCTGGCGGACCTTCATTCCATTCAACTTGCTGGCCAGGGAGGTTGTCACCTCAGGGATGGTGTCAGGATTACCAGAGTGGAGGACCAGCTTCCCCTTGGTGTGCAGGGAGGCCCAAACGCCTTGGGGGAGAGTGTGGGCAGCGCGGACAGCTTTTAGCATCTCCCTTGTGTCAGCCTGTGGGTCATCAGAGATGACCACTGTGTGGGCCGCCGATTTTTCTCCATGGAGGATCACTTGGGCGGCCGCAGGCTTGGATACGCGGGAAGGCGCAGGTTTTGAAGGACCATTCAGGTTTGTCCTCTTTGCAGGCGGGTTGGGAGCCTCAGACTGCTTCCTTTTGATTGGAGCAGGAGCAGGCAAGGCGGAGGCAGGCTTCTTGGCAGGGAGAGCAGCAGGAGCAGGGGTGGCGGGCTTGATTGGGTCAGTCTGGGAGCTGGTTTCTTTGCAGGAAGGAGCAGGGCAGGTTTGAGTGCTGCGGCAAGCAGTCTGGAGCTTGTTGGCCACCATAACTTCGCCCAGCTCCGCGAAGGACTGGAGGGTGCCAGAGAGGTTCTCTACTTCGGCAAGGAGGGCCTTGACGAGCTCAGTCCGCATTGCGATGAAGTGGATAAGGTCCTCATGCAGGGTCTTCATGGCAGGATGGCCAATGGAGCGCAGGATGTTGTGGTTGCGTGAGATCACCATTCAATCTTCCTTCTCCAGGTCGGCGACGTTCACGATGGGCTTGTAGGCCTTCTTTTTCTTCTTGGCAGGATTCATGTCAAGAGCAGGAAAGCAAAGATGTGGCCATTGGGATAAAACAACAACGAGTTTTTATAGGGGAAGAGTGACCTCTGGCGGTTGATTTAGCAGAACATTTGAATCTATAAAAATATGATTTTAAATAAAATATTATTTTTATATAACATATATATATTAACTGAAAAAATTGTGTGAGTCTTTTCTCCTTGCCAACATATCCTTATACAAAGTGCGAAACCCTGCGATTAAGGTTCTCTGTTTCATGGGACACGATTCGCCTTTTGAATCAATTCTTCGATATTACATGTTCTGGATATTGCGGATTGAGCAAGAAGTTTTTGAAAATAAGGCGTTCCTTGTGTACAAAGAACCTTTAGCACCTAGATAATATAGACATCTTTGATCCTCTAGAGAAAACTTGGCAATATCGACTGCAGAGTTTTCGCGGTGATTTTAGATAAAATATTGTAACATAGAAAATTAGGAAAGACAAACTTCAGGATGACACAGCAATTTATTTAAGGTACAAGCACACCTTAAAATTGATAAAATACAAGAGATACAATAAGAGAAAAACACAAGGTAATAATAAATAAATAGTGTGTGGTTCCCACGCCGGGAATCGAACCAGGGCCTCCTGGGTGAGAGCCAGGTATCCTAAACCACGTGGGACACACTATTTATTTATTTGGATTTGGTCTTATTACCTTGTGTTTATGATCTATAATCCAAATTGTGCCTTATCAAAGAATAAGGGAAGTTTACGCTGAGTTATAAAATATATATGTGATTATTTATATATAGCAATATGTAACCCCACCACAACCTATGCAATGTATCGTCAAAAGATTTAATAAAAGTTAGGCTTCGCGAAAAAGGGAACATCAATTAACAGGATTGCATCATCCAGGAAGTAAAGGTCGCTGCCCAGGAACCATAAAACTAAAGTTCAAAGACCATCTTCTTCCTGGAAGATTGCAATCATGGCGACAATGGAGGTACTAAGCCAATCACAATTAAGCATGACAAATCAACAACCAATCACAGTTAAGCATGACCAACTAATAGCAAACCAGAAGCAGGGACGTAGAACGATCTCGACCATTGAGAAGCCGAGATAGTTGATGACGATTATCTCGGACAAGAAGTAGGCAGAAGGTAGGTGACGGGGCTAGAAGCAAGGTGTGCTCAACTTAGGCTCCAACCAAGGTAAAAATCCTCTTCGATCATGTGAAAGGCAAGGTACCTCCTCCAGTCACAACTCTCTCTCCTTTCGCGAAGTCCAGGTTCTATCCTATCCGGGTGTGCTCGTTATTTCCCCTGTGGAAACGCACCATTCGACCAAGACTGCGCCATCAATCACCAACCGCCACAATTAACCACAAGTCACCAATCCAACAGTAAGTTGAAAGGAGTCAACAGGATCTTACACAGGTAACAACAGGATCCGACAGAGAGTCGACAGGATCACAACCGATTCTCACATAGAGTCGACAGGATCAATTCGAATCTCACAGAGAGTCTACAGGATATAATGGAAAACGAGCCACCTCAAGACGCGACAAAGAGAGGGAGAGTAGAGAGGGCACTCCCGTGCCCGAAACAGAACCGACATGCACCTGGCGGAGATTCTCCTTCAACTGACCACCGCCCTGACGCAAGTGTGGTTGACCCAACGCGCGGAAGCGGACCTACCCCCCTTCGATGGAACCTACGCCGCCCACCAATTCTTCCAGGCCTACGACCGGAAGATGGACGAAGCCCTCGTGACCACCCCCGAAAAGTTGCTCAGGTTGCCTAGCTACCTGACGCGCCAACCCCTGGAGCTCTTCAGGAAACTCCGAATGGCCACCCAGACCTACTTCCAGGTGAGACAAACTCTCCTGGATCTCTACCCGGAATCCAACGAGGCGTCCTTCGCCAAGTACTTCGCCATGAAGCTTGTTGGGCAGGCAAGCATGGAGGAGTACTACCGAGAGAAGACAGCGCTGGGCATGCAACTGGGTCTCCCACAGGAGGTAATCTTCGAGATGCTGACGGAGGGATTGCCGCTCTCCGACCAGCGCCTGGTCCACGTGGTACCTCCTGAGAGCCTGGGAGAGTGGTTCCAACTGGTGCAACGGATCTGCGGACCCAGCGCACCAACTTCGCGTCACCACGAGGAACAACCGCACAACATGTCGGGCCCATACACCAGCACACCAAGAAAAACAGGTGCCTGGACTGCACCTGCACCGCCGTCAAACTGCAAATTCTGCGGCGCACACCATTGGCATTCTGAATGCCGCAACAAGCCAGCTCCACACGCGAGCGCGCGGGCAGTGCAACCAGCCCAACATCCACAACCAACCCAATATCCACAACAAGCCCAAGCCGGACAAGCCGCCCGAGACGCCCCAGCCTTTCGCCAACCTGGTAGGAAAGCACCGACTTTTCGTCAGCCAGCTGACGATCAAACTGTCCATCACCCATGAACTCTCACCCCCTTTCCTAATTGACACAGGCGCAAATTTGAACATAGTGCCCCATAACCTCTATAAAAAGTTAAAAAATAACCTACCTCAACTAAAACTTAAAAAACAGCCCATAGACCTACAGGCCATAAACGGTCTTGTACCGACCTTAGGTCAAATAACCTTTCCCCTAACAATAGGTAAAATAACCAAAAACGAGAATTTCCATGTGGTGGAAGCACCTCTACCATTTGGAATTCTCGGTATAAATACCCTCCGTAACTTTAAAATTACAATAGATTTTAACCAAGGCACTATGTTCCAACTCGCCGCTCCATTGCACCCTACCACCTACCATTTTTCTTATATACCAAATGAATGCGCCTATTGGGAATGCCAAGCGGAGTCACAAAGGGCTCACATGGCACACAAGCCTTCCGCACATGGCACCCAATGCGAGCATCCATTGGTCAAAAACCATTTGCCAACATGCCAATCTAGATCACGTCACGCGCACGCACACAATTTTCTCACTAGGGCCAATTGCTCTTATTATAATGTCAAGAAGCCCAGCGGCTCCAATCACGAGAGGCCCCATGGGACGTCTGTCAATCATCTCTGGACACCGGGTGTGAGGGGTTCTGGGGAATCTGGCCGGCAGGGGGAGCTGACGTCCCTCATTAGGATTAACTTTAACTTGGGGTAAGTTGTACTTTATCCATCTCCCTATAAATACCCCTTATAATAAATTAATTATCGCCAAACTTGCCCTTGCTTTATTTATCTCCGCGACATATTTTGGCGGAGATGCTGGGTAGCGTGACGGAACTTCGAAGAAGTCGACGTCTACAGGGACGTGAACCAATTCTTCAACCTTTGCCACAACGAATAGAAATGGAAGACGACCACAGACCTACTGTTAGCGGATCCTACCTCCCTTGTCAGCGCTAACGAGATCCTTCTACCTTTTCTGGAGATGGAAATATAAACCCTGGACAGTGGTTGAAAAAGTACGAGAGAGTGTCGAAGTACAACAGATGGGACGAGACCATGAAGCTTGCCAACGTCGTATTTTACTTGAACGGAACTGCTGGAAGGTGGTTTGATAATAACGAAGAATCACTCAACTCGTGGAGAAGCTTTGAAGACGCATTCCGCGGTGTGTTCGGACTGCAAGTGGATTCTGCTCGACGCGCCGAGGAAGTTCTGAAGTCAAGAGCACAGAAGGCCGAGGAATCCAGCGAGTCATACATCCAGGAGATTCTTAGTCTCTGCCACCAGGTGAACCCTCGCATGGAAGAAGGTGAGATAGTTGCTCACATTATATAGGGAATTTCGGAGGACACATACCAGGTATTGGTGGCGAAAGACATACAGACAGTAGATGAGATCCTGAAGTTTTGCCGTCATCTGACAACCGTCAAGCAGCGCAGGATCGGCCGTACGAAATTCGACAGGTTGTCAAACGTAATGCCCATTTCGTGTGTTGACGACTCAGACGACTTGGCCGCGTTAATTCGCCGCATCGTTAGAGAAGAGATACAAAAGGTTTTCTCAGCACCTGAAGTGATCAATCCTCTCCGAGAGGTGAACGCCCTGGAACAGACTGTGAGGGAAGAGGTCAGCCGTGCTCTACAACCTACCAGACCACAAGTCAACGTGGTACAACAACAACCACGAACGCCTTATTATAATATCGACCGACCAACCCAACCCAGGAAAACGGAACATTGGAGAACCTACGACGACAAACCTATCTGCTTCCACTGCGGACGACCCGGACATGTCGTCTGTTATTGTAGGGAACGACGGCAGGTCTTCGCTGAAGCCAGGACAAGGAATGGCGGAGAAGGAAGAAATGTTGGATTTTCGAGTCGACCCCCGAGATATGACGCCGACGACGACTATGTAACGCCCCAAACCTCGACGTACTTCTACCGGAGCTCTTCCCCACATCCAAGCCGCGCAAGGTCGCCAGCCCGAAGACAATCCCAGTCGCCAGCCCGTCGTTTCGGCCGTTCTCCCATTCCTCAGAATGTGAAAAACTAAGTGGAGCGGCTTCTAACGGGGGTGAGGTCGCCATTGAGGAAAATCCTCCAGGGTATATCGCCGCTAAATTAAAAGAAAATTTTGTTATGGTCAAAATAAATGGATGCAAAATTAAAGCATTGGTGGATTCAGGAGCCGACTTTTCTGTTATTTCAGACAAATTTCGACGCGAACTAAAGACACCCCTCTTCAAAGAACCAGGTCCCATTCTTAAAGCCGCAAACAAAAATTTAATAGAGACCCTAGGAAAATGTGTCCTGAACATAGAAGTTAATGGTCTGAATATCTCATTTGAATTCGTTGTTATGGTGGAATGCAGCCATGACATCATATTTGGATGGGACTTCTTCAAGGCCACCGAGGCCGTCATTGATTGTGGCAGAAATGAACTCCATCTCGAGGAAACCTCCGTCCTGGAATCTCGAGAGGAGGAAAACCAGAGATTGTTTGCTTCTGATGACTTTGTCATCCCGCCTAAATCAATAAAGAAGATCAGTGTGATAAACGAAGAAATATGTGGTGTTAGAGATGTTTTAGTCTCAACTTCTAAGGACTTATTATTAAGAAAGGAAGTTCTTATACCAAACTCATTGGTTACATTTCGACACGGTCGAGGTAGCATTTGGGTGGCGAATGGAGCGTCTTGGCCGCAACTGATTCCATCAGGAATGAATATGTGCACCATGGAAAGTTATGAGAATGGGAATATCTGCAGTCTTATTGAATCCAGCGATAAGTTACAAGAAACGCAGCTAAAGTCACGTGAATGGTCACAGAAGATAAACCTTACTCTAGATCCAGGGCTGTCTGAAATTGAAAGGTTACAGCTTGTTTCATGCCTTGACGAGTTTATTGGCATATTTGACTTTGGGAGTACTCCTATTAAGCCCACCAGTACTGTGAAGCACAAGATAAACACAGGCGACCAGTCTCCTATCAAACAGCGGCCCTATAGAGTAGCACCAAGTGAACGACGACTAATTCAAGATGAAGTGAACAAGATGATTGAAAATCACATCGTGAAGCCCTCTGAAAGTCCTTGGTCATCTCCAGTTATTCTAGTTCTAAAGAAAGACGGGACCCCTGGAGATTCTGCGTAGATTACCGTCGATTAAATAAGATAACAAAAAAAGATGTTTACCCGCTGCCACGCATTGACGATGCCTTGGACAGTTTA